TAAATGGTCTTTATGACACACACTACCTGCTACTGCAACATTCAAATACCCCGCTTCAACTGTATTTGGTCAGATCCTACCAATCTTTTTTACAACTTTTTCTTTATTTTCTTTTTGAGTTCTCAGAAGAACTTGCATATAGAGACTTTTTTTTTTTGCTGGTTTTTTCCACGTTTTTGTTTCCTGCAGTATTTAATAATTTTTTGTCCTTTCTAGAGACTCTGCTACGATTTTAGGCAGGACTAACTATATTCCTTATAATTAGTACTGAGTATGGTAGGATGTATCACAAGCATATTTCGCTTAACTTCGATCCATAATATGCCCAGGATCCAGGTTTGATGAAATCTCCCAAAACATTTTTTTATGAATTTGTTCTGATTTTTGTTCATAATTTTTCATGATCAAGTCTTTCGGATGAACTATTGTTTTCTGATCTATATATGATGTACAGAATATGAACTCTACTACATCAGACAATAGTGTATATAATATGAATTCAGGTTTTTTTGACCAATTAAAGGACCACTCTAGGCACCCAGACCACTTCAGCTTAATGAAGTCCACAGGGTACTTCTTCACAGCAGATCCAAAAACCGCATTGACCCACTTCACAAACAAGAGGCGTGTGACCCAAGCCTTTGGGTTATACTGCCACAAAACGCCCCAACTGCTCCTTGTTCACCTTGTGTTTCTTGAAGGCCCGTGGGTTCTCTGAATGGTAGACAAGGTGAGACGGTCCTTCATTGGCTTGTGACCAGGCAATGAGATCTCCTCTTCTGTGATGAAGGTACACTTTGGCATCCTCTTCCAGAAGAGTCCAGTCTCGTCGCAGTTGAAGACCTGCTGAGGAAGGTAGCCTCTGAAACTATGACCTCCAGGACCTCCGTAGCACGCTGTGGATGCCAGATCTGGTCTTGAACCTTTCGAACCACCCCCTTCTGCATCTGCTGACGTTCCTGGCTGTTGTTTGAGGAGGTCAGCATGCAAGGCCTTGGCTTTTTCGCAGATGATCGGCTTGGTCACTGAGTCCCCTGCACGCTGCTTCTGTTCAATCCAGAGCAGGAGCAACTTCTCGACCTCCTCCAGGACAGGTGGCCGTTGCTTGGAGACCCTGGTGACTCCATTGGCTGCATCCCTCCCAGTTATCTTCTCTTTCGTTTTTAGGATTGTACCGATTGTGGATGCACTCCTTCCATGCTCTTTGGCAAGGTCAGTCAATCGCAATTTTAACCACTTCAGCCCAGCGGGAGGGGCGCCCTGAGGGTGTGGGGGACCTAAGGACAGTATAGTGCAAGGAAAACGAGTTTGTTTTCCTGACACTATAGTGATCCTTTAAGCTGTAGTTGTTCTGGTGACTATAGTGTCCCTTAAAGGAAAGTGCTGTCTCACTTTTTTTTGTAACTTTCACTAATTGCAAGTTTTTCACTATATAGGGGCTTGTTTACAACTTTGTGTATATTCTTGTGTAACTATATGTCAGTCAGTGTAACTGTGTGTCAGTGTGTGTGTTGGTGTGTCTGTGTGTGTATCGGTGTGTCTGTGTATTTGCATGTATGTCAGTGGGGATGTCTTCATATATGTATGTGTGTCAGTGTGTATGTATGTGTGTGTATATCAGTGTGTGTATGATCAATTTATTACTCAAATAAAAGATATATAGATAAAAATGTAATCAAATACATCAAACAATAAAACAATAAAATAATTCAAAGTCCTGTCCTTAAAGAAAGTCCTTGAGGCGCGTTTCGCTGTGCAAATGGGCTTTTTCAATCGAAGTAATCCTCTCACTGCTACCATTCTTCTTTTAAATCCTAATTGTCCTCCTGGTTCGCCTCCTCAATATTGAAAACCAATCCGGTGTCAGGGAGTTGTGGGTGTTTCCTTTCTCAGCTGTTCGTAATCTTCATATTGATTCACCTGGAAGTGACGTTACGTCCGTCGTCACTTCCGGTTCGGATTCCGCCATCTTAATGACTGGCATGCACTGTGTTGTTGCCATTAATCTCGTCCATACAAAGGAACTCTCATAAATCGACGAAACACGTCTCGAGGACTTTCTTGAAGGACAGGACTTTGAATTATTTTATTGTTTTATTGTTTGATGTATTTGATTACATTTTTATCTATATATCTTTTATTTGAGTAATAAATTGATCATTTTTTGATTGTACATTTAGTCCAGTGTCTGCTGCTGCCTAATTTTAAAGAAGGTGAACCCCCCTGAGTGGGTTAAAGTGATACCAACCAGAGCCAGGTTTATCCTATTGACTCTGAATAAGGTGAGCACTTTACCATTTGGTACTGATATATATCTGAATATTAAGTTTTGACCGGTGAAATACTACACTAGAAAGATATTCTTCCTGTCTTTTATGTGTTTTCTTATTAAGAAATAAAGAAGGAGTCTGAAAGAAGGGAGGTGTCTCCTAAAAGATACCAGAGTATAAGCGATTTGAGCCAGTCCGGTCTTTGGCTCTACATTTGTGAGTTGATAGTATTACCACCTTTATCAACCAGATTCCTAATTCAATATACTCCACCATTGGATTATTTTTCTCTTTTCCCTCCCCATTTCTGTTTTTCATATATATGCTGGATTGCACAACGTAATATCCCTAACAGTAGGGGTGAGTATATATTATTACTGGAGCGCTCCACTTTTGGGATTTTTGGGTTGTTGGTATTCTTTTAAACCTTCCTTCTAAACTCCCTATTTTTATACTCTTAACTAGTGGTAGGTTGGAAAGATCCACTTATAAGTGTTGAAGCTGCTATAGTAAAACTTACATCTTTTAATATTTTTTAAGCGCCTATTCAAAATACACATCACTTTTGGCTATATTGGATGTACAGAGCCTGAGAAACCATTGTACAAAGTCTGGTCTTGAGGCTCTGTACATTACCAAAATTAGTTCCAGGGGGTTGCTTGGTTTAGTCTGGCAGATACAATCTTTGCACCTAAATCAAGCAACAACCAATCAGCTGAAAGGTGCAAAACCAATTTGAGCCAATCAACGCTCAGAGAGGAGAGGGGTTTCGCCCCCCAATCAAGAGAAAGGGTGCAAAACCCCATTTGAAAGGGGCACCCAATCAGCGCACCCTCGTGCCAACCATCACAAGAATGGCTCAAGCCCAGTTTGAATGGAGAGCTCCTTCTTCTATTGGTCGGCATGGACTTCAAGGCGGTCAGTTGGACCCCTGCAGCTGTGAAGCTGACTCATAGGCCACCAGGGATTTCGCTCTCTGCAGGGCTACCTCCACTTAGGCAGCCCCGGGGAGAGCGCCCTCGGTCAGCTACGGGCCTGGTCTCGCAGCTCCCGGGTAGGGGAAGAAGTGACCATAGCTCCGTTAGGAGCAAACAGGGCGATCGCCAACAAGGCGATCTGAGACAGTGAGGGCAGGTCCGTTCAGGATACGAATGCCTCCCCTTGTTTGCATTTGGCTATACGAACTAGCGGCCACCCAGGGGAGCGTTTGTTAATGATTTCACTTGTGGTTTTAGAATGTTCTAATGAGCATTCGAAATGTGACCTCAGTGTGGTCCCCGTTCAGGAGAAGAACGGATTTCGTTCGTATGGGCTCCCCGCATGGGAAACAGGCAAAATACACAAAGTGCATACAAATACATGGGGAAACACAGAGGGACCACTCAATACAAGGGAAAAACACACAAATAAGCAGTGGGCATGGTACTTAGTGGCGGTGGTCTGCCACACATCTCCACCCTGTCTACCTCTGGCAGCCACAGCATGACTCACATGGGTCAGATCGCTGCTGCTAGGAGGGGACACATAGTCTTTTAGAGCCATGCCTCCAACAGTACTTGTCCCCGACCAGCCCCTAAAGTCCTGAGGTTGTGCCCGCCTTGCACCCTGCACCCTCCTGGGTACAAGGTGACTTAAAGTGTCTTTAGCCCAGGAGGCCATCCATCCAAGGCTCTGGTACACAGCCCCTAAAAATCCCCACCCAAACAAAGTTGCCCCCGCATTTTGCTGAGCCCCTAACAACCTCCACTCAAACAAGTGTGCCCCCCCCGGCCCTTCCTTCACCTGGGTCTCCTAGTTTGTCCAGACTGGCCAAGGATGATAGGAGTTGGCTGCTGAGTTGGTCGTGGCTCTGCTTACTGGGGATCGCTGGGGTCGGAGCTGTCCTCTGTGGAGGAGAGCTGGCTGTGCTCTTCCCCTGGATCGCACTCAGCAGCTGGGGGGTGGTGCCGGCGGTACGCTGATCAGGGGCCCGCGCCCCTGCTCCTACTTGCTTCAGGAGCCCTGTCCAATTGTTGCATTCTCCTATGCATGGACAATATATCTGCAGACCAATACATAAACCGATTGGCCAGGGCCCGGTCACAAGCTCTGACAGAGGCGACAAGGGACATTTACCAATTTTGTCTTCCCTGCAACATTACGATCAATGCGGAATACCTACGGGGGATCTTCCAGGACAAACACGCAACTACCAAGATATTACAGCTGGCTCCCGGATCCAGTGCGAGGCGATCAATGCATTTCTACAACCATGGCCTCTAAGGTGTGCATATGCGTTTCCACCGTTCTCGATGTTAGTGAGGGTACTCCATCGTCTCAGAGTA